CAATGGCGCCGGCAATATCTCAGGGCACATTTTTTTTACAGTTGACCATTTTTTTTTTCATTAATTGGGTGGTCCCCCCCCCCCCCCCCCCCCCCCAGTTCTCATGGCATGGTGTGGTTGCAGTTCAATCCTGAGCCTCTGTGACAATGCCAAAGTGTCTTTGAGCCATACACCGAACACCCGGTCGGTCACAATGCCGCTGTGAGTGCCATGAAGGTGGCAATGCGCTCTACAAGCAAATGCCCATTTACTATCCAAGAACCATTATGCTTTTAATAAAGTAAAAGTCACTTTATCCTGGTAGTCTTGACGCAAAGCGCTGAGGCCACTGCCCTGCCCTACCCCGCCTTCCGGTGCACCTGTCCTCTGAGCCAGCCTGGCATCCAGCAGTCTGGTTACCCAATAAGGGCAGACAGGCCTTGTTAGCTCAGTCAAGTGTATCTTTTCACCCCAAAGCCACGCTTTGCGCCAGCATGCTGGCTCCTATAACCCTCTACGGCACTGTCTCCCAAGGTCAGCACGTCCTCTCAGCGTGGCGTGTTTTGTGTATGTGTCGTGTGTGAAGATAGATAAGAGAGGGCGTGCTGGGAGGGCAGCATTGAGATATGGGCTGGAAAGGATGGAAGCTAGAAGACAGAAACGACAACACAAATGTGTTTGTGTGCGCGTGCGTGACGAGATGTGTGTGGGATCGGGTGGAAAAGTGGGTCATGATACAGTATGTGTGCGTGGAGCTCACAAGCATTGTATTGAGCCCCAGGGTGGCCGCTGTCTGCATCTTCTGTGTCTCTCGAGCACACATTTGCATGCGTGCGTAGAGACACACGCACGCACTCACTCACACACACACACACACACACACACACACACACACACACACACACACACACACACACACACACACACACACAGCAATGATTTGGCAGTGGCGGCAGCCTTTACCTTTCAGTGTTGTCTGCCTGAGCTAAACTCCTTAAAGGGAGAATCAGAGATACTGTAGTTATTTATACTCATCCATTCTCTGTTCCTGCTCATCATGGTCACTTTGGGTTCTTTTCAGCTGCTGCTGAGGAGGTTTGCTGCATTTCCATGTGTTAGTGTCATCCGACAGGGAAAAATGGGTAACACATATTTAAAATCTTGCAACAAGTAAAACATGCAGTCAGGTTACCTTAAAAACGTTATATGTTCTCTGCAGGAAACACACACACACACACACACACGCAAAAGTAATATCAAATTGATACTAAATTCAAGCAAAACATATGAAAATACGGTTGTTTCACACTTGACAGGTTTGTTTTGGATAAAATGAGTTTTGGTGCTATTTCTCAGAGTGTGGTTTGTTCGATCAACTGTGAACGCTATCACTTGAACCCCGCTGTGCACCCAAAAAATTGGCCAGACAAACTCTTGGGCGGTTTGGATCTGTTCAGCTGAAATGGAAATGTTACACGGACCAACAAACACAGATGAGTGTTTTTGGAGCAGAAGGCTTCGGGAAATCAGAAATATATAGCAGTTAATTTGGTACGGTTGTCAAAAGTGTCAACCGTGCACAGCATTTAATTCAGAAGCTCTTCTAGACATGTTGGCTGTTTAAAAATAGAAATATAGTAAACCAATGAAACCAAGCAGATAATGTTCATATTTGAGGAGGTTTGAATTGCCTCTTCCAATAAAGTGATAGGAACTGATAAAATCAGGTATAAATGGATGCCCTCCCTAAAAGAACATTGTAATTAGGTGTAAATGCCACAAAATAGCAACAAGCACTTAGAACTGGGAGGATGATGAAGCACCAGTGGCATGCATCTACCATGTATACAAACATGAACCCATGTTACATAAACTGTTGTCGTTAAATTATTCAACACATGAGGCTCATTAGCATTAATTAGGGTACTAGCCGAAATAACGCGGTTGCACAAACTGTCGTGACATCACTTCTGCAAACAAATAAGAACATCAGCACTTCACGCAAAGATATTCATTTATTAAACTCACCTTTTGAGCTGAAAAGGTGATACTTCAGTAGATGGCTGGATGAAATTCTGCTTTTGGGATGGTATTGGTATCACCTCAAGGTTTTTGGACCCACATTAAAACTGAAATAGGGCATAGTTGTGCAACTTTGTAAAGTAGGTCTACAAATCTGCAAGAGAGAATACGCATTTAGTAGCCAAAGAAACATGGCTTCTAGTATCGCTGGATCCATAATTGAGAATGGCAATTAAAGAAGTCTGTATCAAAGGTTTATAGTGCTCTAAAAGCAGATTCTCCAGAGCTCCTTTTCTAATATGGCTATGTAAGATCTGACTGCTCTCAATTTGTCTGAAAATCCAAGCAAGTTGCATAGAATAATCCCCATAGGAACTCCATCAAGATCGTATGCAGCATCATTTTATTATTTCACACTTCTGACATGGTGTACCAGACATGCGGACGTCTTATGGAACATTTTTTTTTACACAGTAAAGCTGGACACTGGATACTTTCTTAGTCACTTTCATTAAAAAAAAAAAAAAAAAAAAAAGATTTTCCAGGTAAGTAGGAAAAGCAGCTGTCTGCTTAATTGGAGCAAATCACTCAGTTTACACTTTGTGTTTGTATGTGGGTGCATCTGCATACTTTGAGTTTGGGGAAATTATCTTATTCCCATTCTGCTTGTTTTTTTTTTTTTTGTGTGTATGTGTGTACATCCATGCTCTCTGACACTGCAGCTGAGCCTCATCTCAGTATCTCTGCAGGGTGCTTCACACACCTGTGGGTAAATCAATAACAGAGTTACAGCACAGAAGTCTTTTTTTCCCCCTCATTTTGAGCCGGTATTTGGTTGGTAACTACTACATGTGCCCACTTCTGGCTTAGTTTTGTCTCCATATTCATTTAATTTATTTTGCTCTCTGCATGAATACACTTGCTTTTCCGTGCTTTTAACCCTGGCGTTTTTGTGTCCAACTAACCGTCCATATGCTGCTTTCACATATTCACCCACACCACGAACCCTCTCCTTCCAATCTGCATAGTGAGTATGCAGTTGAAATGTGTTCTGACCTTGGGTGCATGGTGCAGGCGCACAGTCTGACCCCAGGTGTTGCTTTTTCAATATCAGCCTGCTGTGTTTTTAAATCGTTTTGTGGTGGAATCAATGCAAATAAACACTTGTAGGAAGACCGCTCATGGATTAGATTTACCTGTTTTGCTCTGTCTGTAGAAGTCTTTTCAAAGAATGAGGTCACATATATGAATAACACACACACACACACACACACACACACACACACACACACACACACACACACACACTCAAGTTAGACTGACTTTGAAATTGTGAAGAGGTTTATAATTTGCCGGCCCCAACTGTTTTCAAAACACACACTCTCAACATCTCAGGATAATCTTTCGGAGACATCCGAAAATTGGGTCTTTTCCGATTTTGATCGCAAGGGAGGGCAAACACTCAACTTCGGCCAGATTGTTGGTGTGTGAAGCACGCTTTTTAGGCTATGCAGGTTATGGTTAGGACTTGCAAGTGGATAAGAAATGCGTCAGCAGTTAAATCTGGGTAAGCAATTATCATTTAGGGCGTGACCTGGAGTTACATTTTGTGTCAGTGGAGGAGTGGATCAAAAGAGATGCGCTTCAAAATACCAACTTACCCGTGACCCCTGAACAGGATGCTTGTGGTCAACATGAAGGGATGTTCAATACCACTTTTTTCAGACTGATAACAGTACTGGTCCTGAACTCCGGAGAACTCACTGATACCGATGCCAAGTAACCGATACCACTAGTACTTTAGATACATAAATGACAATTAAACCAATGACAGATACTGCATCTCAGCAGGTCCTCTTTGTGTAATAATTCACAAGCAACTGACATTTTAAAGTACAGACACGCTCACAAATTCCAGGATGCTTGTCTTCACCCTCAGGGGTTTTCACCATCAGATAAGTCAACAGTTTTTTGCGTACATCTGCAGTAACCACATTTCACATAATTGCCTGATGGCCATGATATGCAAAAATTGAGCAAATCACCCCCTTGCCATTGGCTACACCTCTATACCTATGCAAATGTTATGCAAATCGAACTTTCCAGAGATTTCCTAATCACAGCGTTTCAGAGTTGTTTCAAAATAAGCATACTTACATGCTGAGTCATTGCAAGTAACTTTGCCACAATAATGTAGAGAACCGAAGAGCAAGCTTGTGAACCACCAATTGGCTATTTTTGTTGTCAAAGCATGATGCGACATGGGAGTTGCATTTTTTGAAATTTCGAAGGATGATGATTCAATATCAAAAGTAAATCTTTGTATAGGTTTACAGAGTCCATCCATTTTCTAAGCTGCTTATCCTCACGAGGGTCTCAGGCGTTCTGGGGCCTATCCCAGCTTTCTTCAGGCAGTAGGCGGGATTCACCCTGAATTGGTTGTCAGCCAATCGCAGTGTTTACAGAGTGAAGAGTTTTAATTTGATTGTTTCCCTTCTGCTTGTTAGATAGTTTACTCATTCGGTAGTAGTGTCTCCCTGAATGCAAGGGGTCTCATGGGATATTGTGAAAACAAATTGGGAATTTTGGAAAATAGATCTTTTAATTGCTTGTATCAAAATACTTGTCTGGAATCCCTGACCACTCATCAAGTGTGAAGTCACACAGCCAAGGCCCAACCTGCTGCAGAGACTGGAATGGCTCAAAACCTTACCTGGAATCTCGAGGGATATGGTGACCTCATCATCATAGAGGGCAGAATGATTTTAAGAAGAAAGATTTGACCTTTACAAAAAAGTCTTTATCAATATCTGAACAAATGAAATTGGAATGATTATTTAAAAAAAAAAAAAACAATATTGTTAAAATCAATTTAATTTTTATCGACCAAAGTGTTTGCATAATGTGGGGTGTCTGCTCCATTTTGAATCAAATATTTCATAATGAATTCCGAACTAAGTAATGTGTGAACAATGAAATCTGTTTTTTTTTCTCCACAGATGACCCAGCTGAAGCAGACCTATGGCTTCTGAACAGCTGCACTGTGAAAAATCCAGCAGAAGACCACTTCAGAAACTCAATCAAGTACTGAATTCCCAATTACTTTTCCCACCAGCATTTCTATATTAAACTTTTTAATTACCGGTACTTGCAAATGTTGGTTTACAAACAGCCCACCTGGCCATGACATTGCTCAGAACTGCTAAACGGCTATTTCAATGCACATTACACACACATGAGCAGAGAATTACAGAAAGGGGTGTACATTTGCATAAACACAGTCAAATTAAGCGAGAAACTGTTTTGCATTTTGATTAATTTTCCTCCAGCAGGGGCACACCCACACCCGGCGGATGCGCTTATTGTGCTAGTGAGAGCAAACAATGATTCACTTGGGTTTGTTACGATTTTGGTGTTAAACTGTTTTTAGCTCTGCCAGCAAAATCAACGTCGAAAGTCAGCCAAGCTGTAATTAAGTGCAGTGTATGGTGTAAAGTTTTTATGTGCTGGATATTCTGATTTTTCAGTAAAATGCTGGTAAAAGTTTCTTGGTCACAGGTCAAAATATATTTAAAATAGAATGCAATGATTTGAACATCCTTTTCAACTCTTGTACAGTTCAATAGACTGCAAAGACAAGCTATTATCAGTATACCGTATTTTCCGCACTCAGAGGCGCACCTAAAAGCCTTCCATTTTCTTAAAAGCTCACAGCGCGCCTTAAAATCCGATGCACCTTGTGTATGGTCATTACGGGAATATGTCGACCCCAAAATGGCTCCTTGCTAGAGACATGCTGACAACGCAGAGTTCAAATTTAAGACGATCGGTTTCGCAGTTGAACACGGAAATAGAGCAGCGGCAAGAAAGTTAACGAGTCAGTTATAACTTGCTGTTGGTTAAGTAAACTGTGTCACTGCTTTATTGAAACGTTTTACTGACATCTGATTGTTCTGTTGGCGTCTCCTTGATCGTAGCTCCATCTAGTGGATGCATTGTAGATTGCGTCTCATAATGCGGTGCGCCCACTGTATGAAAAAAATTACAAAATAGGCCATTCATTGAAGGTGCGCCTCATAATCCAGTGCGCCTTTTAGTGTGGAAAATACGGTATCTAGATAGCAATCTCTCATTTTGACTTCATTAATTCATTCATTCTCCAAATCATTTATGCTCACAGGGACCGCGGGCGCGCTTCAATCTGTGGCAGTGGTCGATGTGCAAGAGGCAGGGTACGCCCTGAACTGGTTGCTAATCACTCGCAGGGCGCAAACAAACGGACAACCATTCACACTCACATTAACACCCCCAGCCCTCCCAAAAAACAATAGCTTATCAGTTTGACCATTAAATATGTCTTTGCAGTGTACTCGATTGAATATCGACTGAAAAGGATTTGCAAATCATTGTATTCTATTTAGTTTGACACAAGGTCCCAGCTTGATGGGAACTGGTGTTCATAGTACACACACATTTATTTAGATTTTTCTTTGTTTGTTTGGTTTTAGTGTAGATATGTAAAAGAATATCAGTATCATGGAGTGAAATGTTTTTATCAGTGAGAAGTTAAAAGCACATAAACACAAAGAAAGAACCGAGTGTGCTTCTGCATTTCATTACTTCAATCTTGCAGGAGGTACAGGATCAGGGAAAAAAAAAAATCAATCTTTTCATGATCGGATGAAATAATATGAAAGACGACAGATGCCCTTGCACTGCATTGCTCTCAGTCACACTCTTGAATACTATGCGTGCACCTCCTGGTACTGCAAACATGAGATCTTAAGTCACCCAAACATATTTCTGTACAGACTCAATCTTATTGTTCATGTTTTTTTTCCCCTTGTATTTTTTTATGGAGCCATTGATGTTTTTAATACAAGTTTAAAGCCTGCAGTCAAGTGTAATACTGTCAATGCCTCTTAGAGATGAAAGTTAATTCGCTGAAAATTTGTCCTGTTAATCACCCTGAAAATTGGGTGCGTTTAATTGAAATATCTTTTATAATTTTGTCTCTCATGTCGGATATTACATACAAGCACTCACTCAACCAATCAAAAACAAAACAAAACGTTGTACTGTTGTGGGAAAACAAATTGATTCTCAGATGCATTCTAATATGAATGTAAAAGATTAACAATTATTTTTTTTTATTTCAATAAATGATCATAAGTAATACTGGCACGTATGGAAAAAGTGAACTCGAATGTTTGAACGCGCAGCACGGTTGGGACATTCTTTGTGGCACACTTAAAAAAAGCAGTGCCATCAGCAAAACAAAGTGATAGACCTGTGCGCCCAGATAATACCTGTATGTTTACATACGGTAATATAATAATGCCACTTTGACGCTATTGTGAGTCTCTAGTGGATAGATTCATTCATGAAGCTTGGGTCCGTCTGTGGCTCTGGCTTTGAGGACATCAGTGGCGTCCAGATGTGTCAAATCCAGGTCCAGAAAATAAAAACAGTTGAGCTTTAGTCATCGGTGCTTTGACTCAACTGGCAGGTAAACGGCTCCCTGTAAGTAATTTGTGATTTGATTTGTGAGTGATTAAAACCGTGCATAAAGCACACCTGTGCAATAATCATGCTGTCTAATTAGCAAAATGATGTGACTCATCTGTGAGGTGGATGGATTGTCTTGGCAAAGTAGAAGCACTCGCTCAGTAGCACAGATTTACAGGTGACTGAGCATTTTTGAGAGCAATAGGCATTTTGTGAACCTAGTTAAAGTCTTCAATCTTTGAGTTCCACTCACAAAAAAATTGAGGCAAAAAGATTAGTTACTTAAAGTTTGTGTTCAGTGTGTGGTACCATGGCAACTACTGTTGTAAAAGTACTTTTGTATTGAAGTCATCATGCAGTATGAAAAAAAAAGATTATGAAAAGAAAAACAACAATTTGAGATTCACTGATGATCATGAATTGAATCACATCAAATTGTCACTTCCTGAATCATAACCGTAATTCAGTCATGAGGCGGTTATAGATTCCCATGCATGGTTCCGTTTAGATTTTCAGGGATTTTAGCAAAGGGATTTCAGTCCACTTTGTTGTGGTTCAGAGAGGCAGTATGAAAATATATTTTATTCCTTCTGGAGAACTGGGACACAGCTTCCCTGCCAAGTGTGGATGCAAATGTTTTGGAGCGTCGGTCTGTGGGAGAATGTGAGCAGATGGGCATATGACTTATGTACATTGTTCATCCATCAATCCACTGTATCTTAGCCTCTGTGATTTCCGTGGGAGCTGGCTCCGATCCCAGCTTCCAATAGGCACAGAACAGACACCTTGTTGATTACTTACTAATTGACACCAAGGGAAATTTAAAATCTGCAAGGAACTTAAACTTGAATTTATACCAACCCCAATGCCAATGAATTTAGGACATTGTGGAAAATGTCAGTAAAACAGAATACAGTGATTTGCAGATTATTTTGCATTTATATTCAACTGAAATAGCTACAAACCAAAGCTATTTTCCCCCAAATTTTCTCTCATTTTAAATGTGATGTAACATGTTCCCAAAAAGATTGGACAGGGTCAATAAAAGACTGGGAAATCTGAGGAGTGCACAAAAGCAACACTTTTTTGGAACATTCCACAGACTTATTAGAAAAAGTCTGTGTCATGATTGGTTATAAAAGGAGCATCCTTGTAAGGAAGCTACAAGCAAGGATGGCACGAGGCGCACTACTTTGAACAAATACTTGAACAGTTTCAGAACATTTCTCAACATACAATGGCAAGAAATTTGGGGAGTTTGTCACCTACTGTCCCTAATACAGTATCATCTGAGTATTCAGAGTCTCTAGAGAAATCTCTGCACATAAGTAGAATGCCCGTGACCTTTGATCCCTCAGGCGGAACTGCATTAAAAACTGGCAACATTATGTCAATGATATTGCCACGTGGGCTCAGGGACACTTCAGAAAACCACTGCCGGTGAACACCGTTTCTTGCTACAGCGAAAAATGCAAGTTAAAACTCAACCATAAAAGCGAAAGCCATATATCAACAACCCTCCAGAAATACCATTGGTTTCTGTGAAACCCGAGCTCATCTGAGATGGACTGACGCAAAGTCGAAAAGTGTGAGGTGGTCTGACGAATCCACATTAAACTTTTTTTTTGGTAATCATAGATGTCGTGTCGTCTGGGACGAAATAGAAAAAAGACTAAGTGAATTGTTATCAGCGCAAAGTTCACAAGGCAGCATCTGTTATGGATCGTATGGTGATGTGTTGGTGTCCATGGCATGGGTGCATACAGGGTTTGGAACAACATAAAGTATGCTGGAATACCAGCAATGTCTTTTTCAGTGTCACCCCTGCTTATTTTGGTGAACAAATGTCAAGCCACATTCCGCGCTTGTTACAACAGCATGACTGTGGAGTAAGACTTTGAGTACTAGACTGGATTGCCAGCTGTCCAGACCTGTGTCCCATTCAGAATATGTGGCGTATCATGAATACAACAATGGAGACCACAGACTGTCGCACAATTGAAGTGGTGCATGAATAGGGAATGGAAAAGAATTTAACTGACAAAGCTTCGACAATTAGTGTCTTCAATTCCCAAATGCTTAGTGAGTGTTGTTAAAAGGAAAGTTTGTCTAACACAGTGGGAAACATGTCCTTGTTCCAAATTTTTGGAACGTGTTTCAGGCATCAAATTCAAATGAGTGAATATTCGCAAAAAACAAAACAGTCAACAACAAAAAATGATCAGTTTGAACATTAAATATGTGTTATTTGTATTGCATTAAATTGAATACACAGGTGGTTGAAAAGTATTTGAAAATCATTTTATTTTGTTTTTATTTATGTTTTACAAAATGTCACAAGCCCCTAAGGCCTGGACAGCCGCTGTAGTAGCAATTGAAGATAATCATTTGTGGAGCTTCCATCCATATTGTGTGTTTGTCCTTGATATGGTCGCTGGTGTTCGAGCTTTTGATTTTGGGCACGCTGGACTGTACCGGTCAATTGCAGGGTACATGTAGACAAATAGCCATTCACAGAAAAAAGAATTAGAAGAAGAATTTACAGCAATTTGTCACATACATAATATGAAAAAAAA